GGGTTAGGGAATAGGGTCTGCGTCCCCCCTCCCTGTTCTAATTCCTCATCAACTTACTTATCGCGCGAAGGCGGTCCAGGTGAGTAGTGCTTGGTGTTGGTGGGCGTATCGCTAGCACGACATAATCCAGTACATCCACAACTAAAGAAAACACAGACAATCAATCACAGATAAGGACGAATTTGAAGGACAAATGATGTTTGCAACTGGTACCGTGAAAGCAAGACGCGAAGGTACATATCCCAATTTATATTTCTCGAAGCCTTCTCCGAATTATCATATGATTAGCTCGACGACACTCTCACAGGTAGCGACATAAAGGAAGATCTCGCCGGACACGGACTCCTCCCCTCCAGGGCGTCGTCGAAAGACCGGCTCGTGATGTAGTAGACTTCGAAGATGTCGGCGAAGTCGTCCGTGGACGCTTCCAGCTTGTCCTGCGTACAGACCACAGAAAAGCAGCAGTACGTCGAAAAGGCGCCACAACGGAGGGCTCCAGTGATGTGTGCCTACATATCGAAATTGAACACTCCCAACGAAAACAACAACTGCTCGCGGCGACAGGCGAGTGGCAGGGTTAGGAAGCATGAGAGAGACGGGGGGGGAAAACCCGAATACTGTCCTCCATGTCTCGGCCCACGTTGGATACCAACAAACTTCGTCCGCTCTAGACCCGAGAGGCCGCTGAGGGTGACGCTGACATGTGGGGATAGAGTGACAGCCGCAATGCATGAAATGATGGGTAACGGAGCGTGTGTTTGGCATTTTTTGTATCGATGCGGCCCCGTAATATTCTTCGGTTCCAGCGGTTCGTACCTGAAACGCCTCATTCCAATCGAAAACCTCCTTGTTGATGTCCGCGTCGTCATCAGGGTCAGACGCCAGCGCGTACCCCTGCACAGAAGCCGTCAGACACAACGCATCTCACCGCTGCCGCTATTGTTGTCGTCACCCTCATCATATTTGTCATCAGCTTTGAAATGAAAGGGAGGAAGACGAAAACATGGGTGGAGCGGGAACAGGTGGAAGAAGCACCAGAGCTAACCTGTCAAGAGCACATGCCAGCAACAATCGTGCACATGCCCAGCGATCCTAAGCACCAGCAATAGCAGCAGTAGAAGCATCAGCAGAACACAGTGTTCGTCCTCGTTCTGAAGCTTCAACCAACGCTCAGGTCGAACAAGGCTTTTAGGCGGGCGCGTTCTCCGTGGTAGTTCGCGGCCCCATCCCGCGGACAGACCCACACCAGAGTTTGATCGCGGTTGGCAACAGTACGACGTGTCGAAGACCATCGGCGGCTTATATGCCCAGGCCCATTTTTTAGTCGCGCACGACCACGCGGAGGACTGGCCGCCAGTCAGCATCCCCCCCTCCACCTCCGCTCACCGCAGACCATACACGTGGCCCAGATGCCACGAGCATCTTCGCCCCTTCTTATCGCCTGGATGATCGCCTTTGCCCCCGAGATGTTCCCGTCGTCGTCGTAGACGATACCGTTGCCGAACAGGGCCTGCTGGTTAGCCGGAAACCCGTCCGGGAACGTCTCCACATTCACGGCTTCAAGGACGTCCGCGTCGCTGGTGACGGAGGCCTTAACACGTCAGGGATAGGGTGAGAGCAGTTTGGGGGATGCTTACGTGTTGCATGCCATGCCTGTTAGACCAGGAGAGGAGGAAGCGTTGCTCGGTGCGCCAAACACCACTACGCCAACGCTGCATTTTCTTCTAGTATCCGGTGATTCCGCGATGTGTATGGTGCATTCCTTCTTTGTCTATTGCTAGAACTACCACAAAGGGCACCCTTTTCGGGCAAACAATAGGAGGTGGAACAGTAGAGAGCCTGTGCCATTGAAAAGAAACGTCGCAAGCAGCAACACGGACGGGGGAGCGCAAAGTACAGCGTTGCTCAGCACTTCACGTGCTGCCGCCGCCATACCTCTTAGGCGGCGAAATTGTCCCAGAACCGAGTGACCCCCCGAAACGGCGCTGCGCACGTCACCCCGTCCAGTTCTTTGGCGCACACATCAGCGTAAGTGCGTCCTCCCGACTGAGAAATAAACAAGGCGAGGGAGAGAAAACGCCAAGACCGCTACTTCAGTAGTACAGTAGTTTGGTGTTGTCGACGTACTTCATGGGATATGTAGGGGATGTGGTATGGGAGATGCCAGGGGTAATGAAGGCGTAGACCTCTCCAAGAAACGTGGCGTTGGCGACAATGCTCCTGCTGTAGCAACACCAACACCAACACCAACAACAACAACAACAACAACAACAACAACAACAACGCCGTATTCTGAACGGTGTCTCCACCTCCACGGCCTTGACGATCTCGTCCAGCTCCCATATCGCGTTGCAATATTTCTTGGTCAGCAAACTTCCGGTTTCGGTCGGGCTCTTCACGGAAAACGCCGCAAACTCGGTCTCTGACAATCCCAACCATTGTGTTCACGGATAGGATAGCAGGGGGGCAAGAGTAGACCTGGTAGATGAAGATGGGCAAGGGTGTCTGAGCGCGCTACATGGTATGATCCAAAGCGAATTTTACGGGAAAGGTGCTGTGAGGGGGTGGTGCGAGGTACAGGATGCGGGGGGCGTCTGTGCGTGCTCGCGAGGAGAACTTCCACGAAAGGCTGCACATGTACGTGACCCCGGCTTGCGCGCCAAACAACCCGCGGAAAGGTGAAAACTGGCGCCCAATATCCTGTAGGCAAGACGCGCAAGCAACACCACGGAGGAACCTCACGGCCAGTACCGATAGGCCGTACAAGAAGTGTTTGCTGGCCAACGTACTACTGTCCTGTGCCTTGTCGCCGACCAGAGAGAGCATGAAAAAATACGGTATTTGACAAGGCAATTACAGTGGTGGTACTATGTTGCTACTGTAAGACAATAATCATAGCCTTCCACAACACTAAAGGGGCCAGTGTAGGATCGGGTCAAGTCACACAACGCATCCACGGATATTGTGAACAGTTGGCACTTTTTCTGCGTGGATCTCAAGGCGAACATGCACTGGTGAAACAGGTTGGCCGGCTTGCACGGGTTCGAAGGACTCACCGGCGGCGAAGGACTCGGGGATGATGCTTTGGTGTTGCTTGGCCACGGAGTTTGCAGGCACCCAGAGGTCTTCTCCTATTGTTGTTGTTGTTATTGTTGTGGGTTTGTTGGTGATTAGAGGTGTGGTTTGTATTTTGCCGTCATGGACACGTACGAAGACCGTGGGAGGCGGTAAGTAGTACCGTTCAGATGGCGTATTTGACTCAGACTATCAATATTTGCCAGCCACGTGTGTTGCATTTATTCGTAAGTACGCATTGCTCATGTGAGGGGGGCGTAGTCTACCCCTGAAGAGCAGAAAAAGTGGTACTGCTGCTGTACTGCACCGTCACTCGAGTCGAGAATGATCCAAGGCGAAGACTATCTGTCAACGATCTCCAAATGAAATGCATACCGTCCTACACCCTTACTGCCTCGAAGGGAGGTCGCACGCATCAAGCAACGCATGCAAAGGCCGTAGCGTTAGCCCATCATGCTTTCGTTGCGCCCCCCCCCCCCCCAAGAAGTCCAAGAAGGGGATTCCATTCTGCCCGTCCGTCCGTTCAGTGGTCATCCGCCCATCCCCCCCAATTAGAGCTAGTCTATGTTGATAGATTTCGACCTGTTCATGCAAGACACTGCTGTTGTTCTATGCATGTTTTGACTACTAGTCACATCAGCCTGATGCTAGGCAAGCACCGACTTAGCCAAGAAGCCAACTAACCAACGAAACCAAAAAGAGTGCAGATAGATGCTACTCTCCGCTGCTTGCTGTGCCGCTTGTGCTCCTGACCTGCTGTGTGTGCCTGCTGAGGTGATGGCCTGTCGGTCCGCCGCCACCATGCTGAACCGAAGCGCTCAGGCCAGGGTATGCAGTTATTCTTTAGGACAACCAACAGAATACGCTGCGCTCGCTGCTGCTACGCACTACCGCAATTCAATCCCGTCCGTTGGTGTTTGAGAGAGACCAGCAGGGCGGCACAGAACGGTACCTCTCAGTGGTCCAATCGCAGCCTGTAGAGGGGCGCACGAGACAACGAGACCTTGTTTTTTTGCGGCGAAACATAAACAGATAGATATAGCGCCCGCACAGAAGAGCTTGGAATCGAGACTCGAACAAAATCGGCAGCTATGAAGACCTTGAGTACCATTTGTGAGCCCGGTTAAGAACCCGTACACTTGAACCTAAATAGCATCCAATTGCAGCCCACAAGAGGATCATCAGCAAAATAAGAACGCCAGCCTCGGCCAACACTAGAGGTGCTTATGTGCGGGTGCCATCTGTACATACTTCCTCTGTCGCATAGGTAAAGTCTGTTATGATTACACGGCCATTTAGCCGTGTCCGATGTCTTGGCAATGCTTTTTTTGAAATCTTGAGCGTTGTTCGGGTTGAAACCCATATTTCTTTTTTTTTTTGCGCACTACCCTGCATGCACTAGCGGCTTACAAAAAAGTAGTCAGGCCAAAAAAGGCCGTATTTTGCCCCTTTCCATGAGGGTGGGGGTGGGGGCACGAAACGAAACATACCAAAAAAAGACAAGAATTATCCCGAACCCTAAACCCAAGGTTACCTCTACTGAACGATCCATTTCGCGTCCTCCCATACAAAAACCAACATTGTAGTGAACCCACACTAAAATCAAGACATTTTCGAGGCCCACACTAAAACCAAGACATTTGGGGCGCGACATCAAGTTACTTGCGGGGCAAAGCCGACAGGCGTAGGGTCCTAACCCTACCCCCCCCTTGTACTCAACGACCCATGTCGCGTCCGCCCAATGTTTTCTGGGGTAATCACAGTGATTAACTTGCGGGAAAAATGGGAACGTACCCAAAAATGAGAATTGGCGTTTTTCTTCCGAACCATCGGGTGTATCACAGAACCAAAATTATCCTGCGAAACCCCTTCGCCCCAGCTGTGAGATGAGCTCATCAGAACCGCCATGCTCCACATCACGCCTTCTCATGGGCGCAAAAAGCGATTCGTGCTGGTTTCGACCTGATTGCTCGCGATGCTGGCTACCTCGGCGATGCCGAGGACATACAGCTTGAGCAACAGCTCATTCGAAAGCTGCTGTAAAGACCTACAGCACTGTCAACTTTTATGGGGGGAGTTGCAAAGGCGTGGTTTGCTTTCTAAAAACAAACGCCCATTCTCATTTTTGGGTACGTTCCCATTTTTCCCGCAAGTCTGTTCCACTACCAACGCCGTACCGCTCGGCGAGGGGGCCTAGAAAACACTTTCTTTGCCCGGCGGAATCGCCAACGCTATCTCCACCGCCATGGCGTACCGACGACCCAACGATACTTCCGCACCCCGCTTACGACGTGGGGGTGTCTGAGATGTGTATAAGAGACAGGNGCGTCGTCCCCCATGATAGCTACGTCGTTTGGTGGTAGTGGGTGCTCACACAGCACAAAGCTGCAAATATTCTTTAAAATATTCTCAAAATGTTTTCAAAATATTATTCCCAAAATATTCGCAAAATAGTCCCGTATTTGACACACTAACTCTCAGTAATTGTGAGTCGGATTTTTTTTTTTTTTAGTGACGTGCGTAACAAGCGCTTTCCAACAAACCTAACTAGAGCTTCAGGAACACCTTGGCTGGTGAGGTATGTAAATTCCCCCATAACGGACTTTACTTATAAGACAGAGGAAGTATATAATAAACGGGCGCGGTGGGATTATGAAAAATAAATATTATTAGTCTAAATTTAGTCTATCTAGACTATGCATACCAACACAGAAAGACTATTTTTTTCTCCCATCATTGGACTCTGCTCTGTCGTCTGCCCCTCTGGCCCATATCCTCCACTTCTACTAGCTAGACGACCCAACCGGGGTCACACAGGAGGGGGGGGTTGGACCCCCTCCTGCGGTTTCTGCCTGAGACATTTTCATCGCTGTACATACCCCGCTCGGATATATATACTTTTCCCACAGTTGTTATTGTTGTTGCTGTTGTTGTTGTTGTTGTTGTTGTTGTTGTTGTTGTTTCTACCATCAGCTCCACAAAAAATCGGGAGCCCGTGGTCTCAAAACCCGGCACATACATACATACGACGCCGCGGGGACACAAAACAAGAAGAGGGTACAAACCACTCGGAAAAAGAAAACAAAATGATAGAAAGAAAAAAAGACACGCCTCTACCGGCGGCCACGTCAGGAGGAGGCAATGATGAGATAATACAATGTAATGTTCTCCCATGCCCTTCTCACATTGAACGACATGCCGTTAGTCTACACAAACAACCAGGGTAAATATATATGTTCTCCCGCGCCGCACATGCCCCCAAACATCCAGAGAGATACACAAAATGGCTACCAAACTGCCTTGTTGAGCCTGTTACCCATACACAGGGGAGTTATCGTTGTATGCTGTCTGGGAAACCGTAGACATGCAGGTAGCATTTCGCTCACGCTACGGATTCATTGCTCAGCTAGATGTACAAAAAAAGCAAAAGCAACAGCAATAAAATAGTGATATCAAGGTACCAAACACAGCAGGAGGCAGGGAGGACATGAAAAAAAAAACACAGCACAGAGGCCGAACGCAATACAGAGGACATAGACTACACAAAGGAATATAGCATACAGCAGGGAGGGAAACAGGGCGCAACAACATCAGCCGGGTACATAGTTCGCCACAAGTGCTGCCTCGGCCGCCCTACTCGCTTCTACAGCAGTGCCCGGTCGCCGTTTCTTCCCCCCCACCGCCGCTTCCCCGGCTCTCTTTCTCTTCGGTCCTGAGATGGCCGTACTCTCTGCTTCTGCTTCCCTCGCGCGCTGGCGCTTCGCGGACGCTTCCGCCTCCTGCCTGTGCAATTTCCTCATGATGAGCCATGCCGCCCCGTCCTCGACCTTGTTGTACCACACCTCCGGGTCCTTGGTGCTCTCTTTCCACCCCCGCCTTTCCTTTTCGTTTTTCCCATGTTGAAGGCCACGTCGTCCTCTCCTGGACGAGACACCCAGTCGCTCTCCTGCCCGCCCCGGTATCCCACGCCCCCCGCCATCGCTCCTAACAGCATGCGCTTGGGGAGGCGATTGTCCTCCATGCGCATAACAAAGACCCCCGAAACACGGTCTCCGTTTCCGCACGGTGGCCTCGATGGTTTCCTCGCAGCCTGCCTGGATGAGGGCCTGGGCATAGGACAGGGGGCGGTCTGAGCGTTTCTGCTTGCTCCAGCCGATGCACCATGTAAGGAACTGTGTGTTGGGATGCTTGGCCGGGCGGGTGTTGTTGTTGTCGTTAAAAGCCGTTCCGGTCTCCGGTCTCCGCGCAGTACCTTCTAATGCCCGTACTGACTGCTCCAACTGACGCGTGCGGATGCCACAAAAGGAGGCGATTCCTCGCCGCCCCTCCAATAAAAACCAGCACTTGATTCCTTCGTGAAAGCCACCTCTCTCTCCGTCCCCCCACCTCAGTCCCAGAAAGAGACGAGCCAGATACATTCATGCTTGCTGCGATGTATGCACAGTTAGTTTCGGAGGCGTATCCGATTATCATCTCTTCTTGGCATAAACAGCAAGAAATGAACGGTACACAGACGGCGCCCTCGTTTCGGCCGAGAGGCTGGGGTACTTAAAGTAGTTCCTATGGCCATCATCATGCTGCGAATGGTTCCAAAAAAAAATACCAGTTTTAGTTTACTCGTAGGGTTTTTCTTAACCGAGTGTATGTCAAAGTTACACCGTTAGACTAGTCAGCGCTGATTGAGTAGTCTAATGGGGTAAGCCTTTCTAACAAAAGATGCACTCTCGGCTTGTAGCCACCCGGCTGGTCACTTGGGAATTTTAAGAAGGATCTCCGGGGACGAATCCCTCGCCAGACGCTGCCTGGAAAGAACTTAATGGTTCGTGGGAAAGTGAGCAGCTGGGATTCGAACCCGTGCGTGCATCCTGTAGCTCCAAATGTTAAACCGAGCTCTTACGAATTATGCTCTGCTTCTTTTTTGTGCCAAGTTCTAAAGTGCGGGCGCTTTTACTACTGCATGGGACCGGGGACGGGGGGGTTGAGCATGAAGCTCTAAACAGCGTCCGCAGTGCGTTGCGGAGAAAGCGTTGCTGCTGCTGTTGTAAAACGAAACAACATGGTTGGTTTCGTGCACCCGCCCCACGGGGTGTTCGTGAGTTCGCAAATGACAGAGGGCGGTCAACGCTATTTCGCCTGTGCCGGTAGAGTGCTTTGATCAACCGCAACAACAGAAGAACCAATAAGGGGCAGACTAACGATAAGCTGTGGGGGGAGGGGGAATGCGCCGCCCTCGACACAAACCTGGGCTGAAAATGAGCAGTGACTAATCTAGTCTTCTAGTAGTTGCGGCCTGTGTGTTCATGACGTATCCGATCCTGAACCCGTATCTTAACCTTTGCAAGATACACATCGCACGCCCTTGTACGGATCTGCCAAACTCCTTTCATCCCTCCCACATCCGGGGCGGAAAAAACAAGGGCGGGCCGACCATTATCCGTGAAACAGAATGCGCCAACACTCAGGAGTTAAGAAATGAAGCCCCCAAAAAAAATTTAAGAACTTGACCACCATTTGTGAGCTCGGTTGAGAACCCCTACACAATAACCTAGAAAATATTAGCGACAATCGTAGCATGACCCTATATTAAGAACTAACATGCCAAGTCTCGGCCGAAACAATAATAGAGCTTCTTAAGTGCGGGCGCGTTCTGTATTCCTTGTCAAGGCGTCAACGCATTCATCCTTTGAGGGATTCTTTCAAAGGGTACAGTACAAGTCCTTTGGTGACGTCACGAAAACTTGGCGACGAAGAGCGAATTCTCCGCGGCGGCTACCGATAAGGAGGCGAGTTCCGGGCTCCCATATGTCGTCTAAATACGACGACCCGATCAGCGACCACGCGTTGTGACTCACAAGACCCTGCCCCTAAGGTCCCATTGGAAGGCTGTCGATTCTGCGAGCACCCGTAGGAATCGACGGCGCTATCCGGATGGCCAATGAAAAGGTGTCAGTCTCACTCATCATGGCCACGAGGGTGTGTGTGTGTGGGTGACACTCTTAACATTGCCAACGTCTGAACAACCCATGAGTGACATTGATCTCTTCGACTCAAGCTTCCACAAACAAGCATGGTCTATGCAACAGAGAAGACAGCGTTTCCGGCCGTACGAATTTTCTCTCCCCCCCTCTCTCCCTCAGGCGATCAGAACAGAAGCTCCCACACCAGGGCGAAGGTTCTCTCCCCCCCTCTCTCTCTCATCTGATCAGAACGAAAGCTCCCACGTCAACACGAACGCTCTCTCCCCCCCTCTCTCAGGTCATCAGAAGAAATCTCCCACACCAGCACGAAGGTTCTCTCCCCCCCCCCCTTCTCTCAGGAGATCGGAAGAAAGTTCCCACACCATCTCAATTGGCTTGGTTGGCAATTCCTCCACCGTGTGCACACGCGATCCCGTCCCGCGTCAGCATCCACGACACCCTTTTTCTCCGAGCCTACCCAACCACCAGGCGGCGTCGTTCTTCATCAAGACTTTCACCACCACCTGATGGAGGCACCAACTGCCCGGTGGACGAAACAGCCAACTGCTAGGTGGACGCAACAGCAGCCGCTGGCGCAGTGGCAAAGGGGGGAACCGGACGCGGCCCAACCGCAACCGCACAGCACGAACGACTTGGGAGACAGGTGTGAGGGCAAACAACCCCCGTTGCTTGCCATCCTCTAGTGCGAAATGCGTGCCAATCTCCCGACCAGGACGTTCTCCGCGAGGCCCCTTCGCGGTCACGCCGGGAGCCTCCAGAACCACCGACGGAAGTACCAGCACCAGCACCAGCACCAGCACCAGTAGCTCAGCCCCGAGCCCGCGCCCGCTCAGCAGTGATGGCTTTTCAGACATATACTATCCCTAGGCCCAAGTTCATCTAACCGATTCCAGAAATCTCCTAGGCCCTCTTTCATCTGATCGATTTTCAGAAAGCTCCTAGGCCCTTCATCTCCTCCATGAAGCTGTCATACTCCTGGTTAACACCGGCCTTCTTCTCCCCGCCGCCACCACCGCTGGCTCCTCCGCTCCGGGCGGCCGGTGCCGCCGCCGTCGCCGCCGCTCCCGCCGCGGGTTTCGGGGCGGCCGGCTTCAAAAACGTCGCGCCGGAGGGGCGAGGCAACGACGAGGAGGCTGACATCATTGCGGCCGTCCTGAAAAAGAAGAACACACGTACACAAACACACACGGGGTCCCAGTCAGTGGCAATTAGAAGTGTGTTGTGTTTTCAACCGCACAGAGGGACGTTTTTCATTGGTCAGCCAGTTAGCGCGGTCGACGCTAATAATGAAGACACAGACACAGGGCGCACATGGAACATGTTAAACGCGTCCGCAGTATGGTGCGCAGACGGTGCTGGAGAAAAGGCTATATAATGTACCATGGAGTCAAATGTATGGTGAACATTACTGAGGAAAAAAACATACAGAAAACAATGGAGAACTTTACTGAGGAAAAAAACATACAGTAGACTAAATACGGAACTTTTATTTTTGTCAAGTGGTCGTCTGGTTAACAAGGAAAGCAAAATAGTGCTCAACATGAGGCCAGAAAACAAGGCAGTTTTTTTTGCTGCTGTCGGCCCGGAATCAAATGGCAAACCAACAGCCTTGCTCCAACTTAGGTTGGCATTCTTCCGGAGGCAAGGACGACGGCGACGACGGCGACGATAGCAACCACCACAAACAACACCACCACCGACACACCTGCCGGCACCAGCACCAGGCCGCGGTCGAGCCCCGCGGGGGGTCAAAAACGCCGCCCCGGCCGGCCGCGGCACCGACACCGCTCCCGCCGCCCCCGCCCCCCTCGCCCGACCGGGCGCGGCGCCTCCGCTACCCCCCCCACCGGCGGCGCGGCTGACTCCCCCCGGCCTCTGCACGCGGAGGTGGACGGGCTTCATGCGAAGGAGGTCTTCTGAAACGGCCGGTTTTGGCGCGGGGCGAGAGGGTCCCTGGACGGGACCAAGGGTTCCGGACCCTGCGGCTCCCGACGCCGGTCCCGGGCCTGCACTTGCGCCGCCGCCGCCGCCTCCAGGTTGCGGTGCTGGCCCCTGTTTCGATTTGATACAGTGTGTCGAGCGGTTGGGTGGTCGACAACACGGAGCGGTCAGTTATGTGTATGATACAACCAGGGGTTTGGTCTTGCCCCCTGTTTTCGGTTGTTGTACCCGCCATTTGGGTGGTGGACAACACGGAGCGGTCGGAAGTGAAAAATTGTACTCCAGACGGTATCGTGATTCCAACACTTGAAGAGGTAGATGTTAATCCCTGCGGAGATGGGTGGGACAACAGGTGCGCGTCGTAGATGGGGAGGGAAGGACGCGGGAAACAGGGAGACCTACAAAGCAGATAGCAACAAATACAGCGGCAGCAGCAACAGCAGCAGTAGCAGCAGCAGCAGCACCAACGCCAAGACCACCAACAACAACACCAACAACACTGACACATCGCATCTCGGCAACTGTTAACACCTGCGAAGGGCCGAAAGCAGCAGCCTGCGCGCCCCCTCTCTGCTGCGGCCCTCCCTGCTTGTTCAGGTTATACGGGCGCTCCGTGTACCCGGCGGCTGTATTTTCGAAAACAAACAAACAAGTCAAGAACAACGGCGAGAAGCAACCGGGATGGGGCCGAATGTGTCAAGTCGAATACCGGTACCGTCGTAGGGCAGGCATGGCGGCAAACACGGCAGTCGCGGTTCTTCGCGATCGCACGGCCGGGCAGGGAAAAAAGGGCGTCGGGAAAAATGTCAAACGCGTTCGTATGCATACCCGCCCAACAACAACACCGCCACCATCAACCGTCCTCCCCGCTGTGACATCCATCAACACCTTACATACCAGCTGCTTGTCTGCGCGGTCAAATCCAAAATCCCCGTGCATCCCATCCTACATCCCATCCCATCCCGTCCCTTATCTCTTCACCTTCCGGGTCCAGGGGATCGACCGGACCGCTCCGTCCCGCCCCCCCGCGCCCCTTACCCTTCCCCTTGCCCCCCCCGCCATCCCCCCCGTCCGTTGTCCCCCCGACGTCCCCGGGCCCGTAAACCCCCGCCCCGGACGCGTGTGATCGAACATTCGGCGGGGCCCCCCGGGGCGGAGGGGGCGGGGGCGCCCCCCCCCCCCCCCCCCCCCCCCCCCCCCCCCCCCCCCCCCC